GGTTTTTTGTTTTGTTTGTTTGTTTGTTTTTAAGTGTTTTTGACAATAGACAGAAGCATACTAAGAGGTCTACTTTGGGAAGACTCAGCTCGTGGAAATGAAATACAAATTCTGATGATGATGGTGTGTCCCAAACAGAAATCTCCATAACAGGACATGCCTAGCCTCACACTGCCCACGTTTTTTTTCCAGAACTCCACTCATGTCTGTTGAAATCAACAGGTCACTAACCAACTGGGTCTTCTCTGGTAGAGCATTCCCCCCCCCCCCCCCCAGAAGCAAGGTAACTGAGGAACAATAGTACATACCTTTACATACTGGGGCTGAAATGCTACCTAGCCAGGAAGGGCTATTTTGAAAGAGCTAAAAATAGATTGTGGACCACCTTTCCTGCTTGCAGGGATGCACTGTTAGGCACAGCCTCACTCTTCATTCCAGCTCCCCTGATTCTGATCTCTGCTGCTCTTTGTTCTGTACAACCAACAACTAACTGAAGAGCTGGGTGGAACACAAACCCGTTTCCTCTGGGGCCCTCCTCAACACCATAATTGCAGGCTCCCTGCGCCTCCAGCAGTGTGGTCTGGAGCCATTCCTTAGCTGGGAGAGGAGTCTCCTCCACCAAACTGACTCAGAACCCAGACCCTGTAATGAAGAGAAGGCACGTCTTCTCCTTCTGGCAGAAAGCAAAGCTGCCACACCACCAAGCCTGGCAGTCCCCGCGCTTGGACACAGAGCTTACTGGCAGAATAATGGGAGCCTCATCCGCTCCAGTCGGCACCGTTCAGATGCTAGACAGTCTGAGATGATCCATGGATGACTAGGACAGGCCAACAAACTCCACAAATCCTTTCTATTCTCCCTGAGGAGCTGCCAAGACTGTGGGTATCGTGCAGTCCTGCCTGCCATGGTGCCTGACAAGCTGGGAATCCTTCACTTGCCTACCTTTCCTGCTTCTCACCTTAAGACTTATTTCCATCTCCGTGCTGCTCTAAAATCCTCACATCTTCAAAGCTGCATTACTCCAACACTCTTGGCTAGCAGATCTTTTCAGAAAACTTTAACAGAGGTAATGTGCACTCTATACCATCAACTGTACAGGCAAGGGTTCCCAATCTTGACACTTGTGACCGAATGAACGAAATAATACCTTGTGGTAGAGGCTGTCCTATAGGTCGTGGGAAGCACTCAGGGGCCACTGGCTAGATATCATTTTAATTTCTCAACTTAGCTATAGTAATTAAAAATGCCTTCAGGTACCATGGAGTATCACAGAGAGACAGTCATTCAACTGAAAACAAATGCTTTCGGGTTTTCTTACCTCGGATACTTAACCTAAGTAATTTCCATGTTTCCCAAACACCTGGTTCTATAACCAACTTTCGATTGTGAGGCCCTCACATATCGCCAAGCTTTCATCTTTGTGTGATATGGTTATCAGGTTTCATCAGGAGGTAGGGAAGGATGAAAGCAAGAAGGGGAAGCCCTCCTCCACTAAAGAAGCATCAGTGAAGACGAGTCAGCATATGTCAAGGTGGCCCAGAGTAGAAGCCAGGGCCACAGTGAGTAGCTATGGTGCAGGAGAGGGGAGAATGGGAAAGCAGATGAGTTGGAGTTCCCAATGTAAAAGAGTATGGCATTCCAGGAAGGGAATCCAGTATTAGGGTCAAAAGTAGGGTTTTCACAGGCAATGTCAGGAAGGATGGAGGATCCAGACATACTAGTGGCAGAACACAGTCCTGTGGGCCCACAGAGGCTACTAGAAAAGAGCGCTTAGCTTCTCTTTTCTCAGGGCAAGCCCTGGGTAGGGATATGCCCACCCACAGGAAGAGTTAAGGGATCCACGTCATGATTAGGGGCTCCAGAGACAAACAAGCCTGTGTCACTCTCACATCTCCTGCCCCTCAGTAAGAGTGGGTCATCAGCTCAGTCTGCACGCTGCTCACTAGCCTGGGTTTCCTTCCTGCCAAACTGCAGACTGAGGCCAGCCATATGCTCTAACCCTTCCAAATCCCCCTCAATTCAGCACCAAGTTTCAGGCTGGCGTTTTCTAAATAAAAACTTGTTGGTATGAGATGAATAAGTTGGATAAGAAAGTACAACAGTTAAAGTTTCTGAAGTGTTTGCTTATTTTATTTCAAAGCAGCTCTGACAAAAACAGGGATATGATCTCTGGCCAGTACAAAAACTAATCATGAGAAAAGGAAATTCTTAAAGATTGAATTAGCCATGTGGAGCTGAAGTGGCTTGTGAGGAAAAGTGGGGCTTGGTTCTTGTTTGCCTAGTCTCAAACCAGGGCTTCCCTGTGCAGCTCTGGCTATTCTGGAACTCAGAGATCTGCCTGCTTCTGCCTCAAAAGTGCTGGCATTAAAGGTGTGTACACTACTGCCTGGCTCTTTTTTCGTTTTCTAGAGAATGGAAAATGGGAGAAAAAGCAAGTGTTCTATCTGCGTAAAGTCCTTCTGAACAGAGGGGAGCAGGCTTCTTTGCTGATGGTGGTCTTTCCTACCGTTAGCCTGTCAACTCAGAGCAGAAAGCCATGGCAGGACATCCACATGAGTGCAGGATAGTTCCTGGAGTCCCTTTTCATCAATGGAAGGCAGGGTACCATTTCCTCCCCAAAGACTCGGACCCACACTCATCCCTAAAGACCATAGTTAAAAATGGCCATAGCATCGGGACTCCATAGAACGACAGTGAATGCAGCTACGGAGCTTACCAGGTGGTGGCCCTATTGATTTATTTGTTTTACTTTTATAAAAATTAAAATAAAAAAATTTGTGGTGTATATGTATGTGTGTGTTCACGTATTGACACGCACACAGGCAGGGGCATGTTCTACTGTGTGTGTGTACATGAAGAGGCCAGAGGCTGATGTCAGCTTACTTCCTCAATCACTTTTCACTTTTTCTTTGAGAGACAATCTGTCTTTGAACCCAGAGCTCATTGATTTAGGTAGGCTGGCTGCTGACAACGCCTCGGGACCCACCTGTCTCCAGCACTGCTATTATGGTTGCATGTCAGCTTTTATTTGGATGCTGGATATTCAAACTCTCGTCCTTGTGCTTACGTAGCACGTACTGACTGAGCTATCTCCCAGGCTCCTTGTCTACTAAAAATGTGTAATGAGAACTTCCATGTATTCCTCCTTCCCAGACCCCCATGTATTTTCTTAAGGCAGAGAGCATGAGTTCTGAAATACCTGTAAGAGGCATTTCACAATCTATTTTTTTTTTTAAACTCAAGCTTTATGTTCTATCATCGGCTAGAACAGGCTATTGTAATGTGCATGGTATTCACCTTTTAAATGCTTATTGCATCTTTACTACGTGCCTGACAGTATCCTTCGGTCAAAAAAGACAGCCTAAGTCATTAGGAAACCCAGCAAGCAGCTACATGACAGGTGGGAGTGTTAAACATGAAAACACACAGGCCAGTGGTTAACATACATGCCTGTCAATGCACTGCCGATGTTTAAAGAGATTCTGACAGAACAAAACAATGAATGCATACCCACAGAATGTGCAAAGTATAAATGATGTGGCCACTTATACAGACTTGTCTAAATGCTACCTTTTCTAAGGGACATGTGGAAAACACTGTAACCTAAAGACTTAAGTGTTAGCAAGCTCTGTAGTCCAGGGACTGAGTCATGGGTAGCTTCCTCTGTTCAGGAATGTCTCAGAGCAGGTGGCAAACAGCCGGCCAACCTGGCAAAAACAACACTATCACAATGTAAAGGAAGGTAAGTCATCATACTATTCTTCACCCCAAGGAAACTGGGCATTAAACCCACAAATGTCTGGTTTCTCCTCTATTTCACCCTTCCTTGATCTAAGGACACACAGGCCTGTTAGCAACATTCAAGGCTGAAAACCATTACTAATCAGAATTCCAAAGATACTGGCAAACTCCTACGGCACAAAAGATTACTGTAAATGTAACAATTCCAACAGTATTATTAAATTAGTTTTCAAAAGAAACTAATATACACACAAAAATGTTTAAGTAGTTGTTTTACTTTTTAAAAACTCACTAACAGACAGATACAAAAGGGGATGACACATGCAGGGCAGTTGAGCTTGACAGGTAGAATAATGTCTATATTTCAATTTCAGAAAGTTATTATAGAAATGAATTTCTTAGAATTTATTTTATTTTTAATTATGTGTATGTGTCTGTATTTGAGTATGTGCACATATGAGCGCAGGTGCCTTTACAGTCCAGAAGAGGGCTCAGATCCCATAACTTAATACGGAGTCATAGGTGGTCGTGTAAGCTGACTCATGCGGGTGCTAGGAACTGAAGTTGGGTCCTCTGAAAGACCAACATGCAGGTCTAACTGCTACAACATTTCTGCAGCCTCACAATGCATTGTAAATATTATTTTTTCACATTTATATTATATATTACACATAATGCAGATTTAATCCCATTTCGTGAAAGCATTGAGAAAGATGTACATGAGGGCTTTATATTTGCACTTTTCCATTCAAAACATCAAGTAGGAATCCTGCATTACAGAATGATAGATTTCCATCAAGAAAATATTACCCCAGGAGGATCTCTAGAGTTAGAGAAGGCCACAAAAAATTCACAAAAACATCAAAAGTCAAAGGAAAGAGAAAGAAGCTTTATTGGGACACTGGCATGTCCTTGGGTGAGGAAGGCAAGGACTCTATATGATCTCTTTGTGTGAAAGAATACTTAGCAGAAAACAGTGTGTGTCTTCACAAGAAGCAAGAAGGTGAGACAGTTCAAACTTTCTCAACAGGAAGTTGTAGAGAACCTGTTTTTTTTTTTCTTTTTAATTTGGCAAAACTTTAGAAAATGTGATTTTTCTAAAATCAGCGAGAGGCACTAGAAGGGCAAACAAACACTCAGACTTGAGGGACTTCTTCTTATGGGGGATGGAATGCTAGGGATAGAACCAGGGCTCAGGAAGGGTGGGCAAGCACACCACGCAGTGTCTCTATGTCTGAGGAACAGCAAATGGAACTTACATAGATTTGATTCCTCTTGTATCGCTGAAACAGGTTGTACATGATGGAGCCTCCGTGGAGTTCAGTCAGGGAGGCCATGTCATCCACGCCCTCCTCATTCATGGGGTGCATAGCCGTCACCTTTTGGTTGGTGATTGTGCTCTGCTTGTAGGTGAACACCTGAGGGCAGAAATGAATTCAGCTGTTTAGTCTGCAGTACATGACATAGTAAAGACTGCCTAGACTGCTAAAGCAATCGCAGAACAGGCAGTCTGAATTCTAGAAATCATTTTTTTTTTCCATTTTCTTTATGCCATCTATACATTTTCTAAAGGAAGAAATTATTTTGACAGCTGCTAGTAAACTTTAGAAGATATTATGTTGAGTGGCAATCATCCTTTGGGACTCACAGAAACTTTAATTTCACAGTTCACCCCTCCTCCTCTTCACAGTTCTTTACATAAATCGGGAAAGTAACCACAGGCTGGAGAGATGTTTAAGAGCACTTCTTGAAAAGGACCTGGGTTCAGTTCCCAGAACCTACATGGAAGCTTCCAACCATTCACAATTCTAGTTCTGGGTGATCCAATACCTGTCCTGTGCTCCAAGGGTACCACGCACATTCATACAGGCAGGCAAAACACATACACACATAAAATAAAAATATAAATATAAAAACAAGTTTTAAAAAAGAATTTGGCTAGGCTTTCTTAAACAGGAACTTGGTTTCTTTACAGTTTCACTCTGGATCATATGGTAGCTTCAAAACTTCAGAGCAAAGTAAGTATTCTATTAAACTATAGTGATTAAGCATTAATCAAGTAGTTGAAAGATTCCGCCCATCTGCCACAACACTGGCATAAATTATTACATCGATATTTAGAAAATGTTGCCAGTATGCCCTCTCCACCATGACATATACCTGCATGCGTTCAGGGTTTATCAGATGGTTACCTTATACTTCCAAACAGGAGTGTGTCAATGGGTACATATATGTCATAGCATGTACATGAAGCAAAGCTAATGCTGTGTGGTTCATTGTTTAGTTCATGTTTCTCAAGATACTTGGTATTCTTTTACCATAAATGACCACAGAATTAACCAAAGCAAGTCATGCTGTGTTTGTTGACCACATTCAAATGACTTTACGTATAAATGCACATATGTAAGTGATTTTACTATGGGGTCCATCTTCACTTATGTGGTCAGAGTTTGGGTTTGTTTTTACAGTATTGGTAATCAAACCCAAGGTCTAGGCAAGTGCTCTACTATTCAACGACAGCCTCAACCCCTGCAACAGTGTAAATAATAGTTTTTAAGCCATGCAGGCTTCCTTTAAATAAAATGAAACTGCCAAAAGGTCATTTTTAAAAGAACATAAATAACACAAAAAAACTTATAATCTTCACACATACAAATGTGTATAAGCATGTACACGAAACCATTTCTGCCATGTCTGAAGAAGTTTTTTAATTTGGGATTTTAACATCAAATATCAACTTGCTACCCACATTGCAACAAATGGCATATTCTTGCAGATGGGGATAACACACCGAGAACTGCAAAAACACCAATCCAACGGTTTTGGTACAAGTGGCATGTTTTATTTTTCTAGAGAAAAAAAATAAAACTTTAATAGTGGTACTCATGCCAGATGTACCACAAAAGTCTGTCGAAACCAGCCCTGCGAAACTCCCCCAGGCCAGTACAAGGACACACCCTTCCCTCCCAAGGAAGAACCACTTTCTCCAGATGCTGCCTGGCAGACAGTCACTGGAGGAGAGTGCCCAGTTTCCCTTTCTCAGGTGGCAGAGGGGCCACCCTGTCACATGAGCACCATGAGCTAGACTGAGACCTGGAGCTGCTGGTGGAGTGTAGGTGGGGTGTACCATATCCAGAAAAACAACCATGAAAGAAATAGCACAAGGACATCCCAGAGACAGGAAACACATGGCCTTTCATATTGAGTCATAAGCACCAAGAAGGAAGATGAAAAGAAACATGGGTCAGCAATGGATGTAGCCTTGGGGCAACCTTAAAAAGCCCTCTGCCCTTCTCTAGCCTGCTTCCCTCAGGAGGTAATCCAGGTGGGTGTTCCAGAAACGCCTCAGGTGGACAGGGCACTCCACAGAGCACACCGATGAGGGTGCAAGGCAGAAGTTGCCTAGCCTGGTCAACCCCGGCTCAGCTGAGGAGTAGATACGAGGGTCTTGTGTTGTTTTTCAGGAGGCCGTGCCTTAAGATGCATAGACATTGGTCAAAAGCAGCCCTGAGAAACTGCTCAAAGTTCTGTGGCCACAATGCTCTTCTGAGCTCAATACAAGTCACCTCCAAAGCTCTTTCAGAAAAGAAGCAGCTCATGATAGCACAACCAGTCCCATGTCCCAGGGCCTCAGCATCAGCTGTTTTCCAGAGCAGACCCCGCTTTCCTACCGCATGGTGCTTTGTATACTCTGAGCATCCCAGACCCTAAATACAGACATGATTTAAATATTAATTTTCTGTGTGTTATATTGATTTGGCCTTCAAACATAATATATACTCTCTAATAGCCACACATACATATAATCAAGTTAATGCCTACATCTTCATGTCAGATGTAAACCTTGCTTTTTTTTAAAATTTCGTTGGGAAAAGCAAGGTGACCCATGAGCACATGGTCTCTAAAAGCTAAGCACAGAGTCTCAGGAAACAAACAAACAAACAAAAAAAGCAAAACAAAAATCTAAAACCCGATGGCCTCAAATTATTCACGGAGTCCCTACCACTGACTTCATGTTTCTAGCAAATACCCATTCCTGGAGTGTGAAAATCAAAAGGATTAGAACTATTCTGCCTCATGACCTCAGCATCAATCACAAGAGGCCAGTAACTGTCAAAGGATTAAGATGGGCTGTGACTGGATAAAGGAAACATTTGTCAAAGACCAGTGTGTCAGATGCTCAAGGCAATGAACATTTCAGGGAAAAGGCGGGAACTGGTCCAGAATGCATCTGAGAAGAAAAGGTGAGGATTACTGTCCATCCAGAGTTGGGCTGGCACTGGCAAAGAACAGCATCTGGCCATGGGGCTGTCTGATAAACTTGGAAAAAAGAAATCATTTAAGTAACTTTTATCTAGTGTATAACAGGCAGTGGGGACAGATTTTACATCCCAGCATAGGCAAAGTCAACAATGCACAAGACTTGTGGGTAATACTGACTCTACAGGATCCAGAGCCCCATAGGAGGCTGACATCTGTGAGAAGGGTTCCACATGTAACCTACAGGCAAACCAAGGTGGGGAACACTCATCACTCCTCAGGCTCAGGGTCTAGACTGTGTAAAGGGAAAGGGAGCTAGGCATCAGCATTCATGTCTGTCTGTTTCCTGCCTGCAGCTGTAATGTGACCTCATTCTTCTGCCATCATGATGTCCTGGATGTCCCTTCCAGGACAGACCTACCCCAGCACAGTGAGCCACAAACTAACCCCTCCTCCCTTGAGCTGCTTCCTGTGAAGAGTAACTGCGACAAGTGATTCAGTATCACTGAGGTCTAAAAAGGCACAAGTGAGCACAAAGAAGGACCAAGGCACAGAGAAGGGAGTGAACTTATGCCAGTTGATTTGGGACAACCTCACCAGTAGGTAAAAAGAAAATATAAGAGACCCCAAGGGTGTGAGGGACAGAGCCTACTATTTGCATTGTGGTGTCTGAATGCATTACTGGATGAATAAACACCTGATTTAAGTTGGGAGGATTTCAAAAGATCAATATAGCTGACCCACCACATTATTCATGAGTTTCTTTAGTGTGTGTGTGTGTGTGTGTGTGTGTGTGTGTGTGTATGTGTGTGTACACAGTCGAGTACAAATGCATATGAGTACATGAGGACAAGAAAGGATGGCTTTGGGTGACTTCCACTCCTGTAATCTACTTTATTTTTCTTATATATTCTCTGTCAATAAACCTGGAGCTCACCAATTGGCTAGATTAGCTGGCAGGGCAACCTCAGGGATCTGTCATCTGTCTGTCTGTCTGTCCAACCCCAGTGATAGTTACTGATGCATGTCACCATGTATAACTTTTCAATGGGTCCTGGGGATCTGAACTCAGGTCCTCATGTTCATGCAATAGACATTTCACCTACTGAGCCATTTCCCAGCCTCCCAGTACTCTTCAACTATCAAAAGCCATTTTTATATACAGCAATTAAAAAAGTATTGGTTTTAAGAGCTTCTTCCTAAACAGAAAACAAAATCATGAGTTTAAAGGATGTAGTCCTTTTTACAAGACCTTTTCTTCCAGAACAGAAGGGTCATAATGCAGTAATAAGATGCATCTCTAAAAGAACCAGAATAACTGAGTTATATCAATAAAGCAAATGCCAGGAGAAATGTGGTATGATTTTTAAAAAAAGCAAAATGGGGTTGGCAATCAGCCAGAAAAAGTACTTTCTGCTAAGCTAAAGAACTTGAATGTGATCCTGGGGACTCGTGGCATTAAGAGAGAGAGCCATGAGGATGTACAAGGTAGGCGAGAAAAGCCAACTCTCCAAGTTGCCCTGTGACCTCAACACACACACACACATAATAAGTAAATAACAGCAATAATTGTAAAAAGCAGAGAGATGAGCAAATCAGGGAAAGTTAATGGACAAGAAATCAACTAAGAAGAAATGGAGCCTTGGAACAAATAGCCCTGATGCAGAAATATGAACCAATGGTCATGAGATGACTGGACTGCTAAGACAGTAGGACACAAGGAACCAATCAACATGATTGAAAAAACAACTAGAGATGCTGGACCAGCCCTTGGTCTGCTTCTGCATGCAAGTAGAGAAGACATGGCATGTATTGATTGGACAAAAATTAGCTGGGCCCTCAAGTTATTTTTCATTAAAACAGTATAGCTGTAGCATGGAGCACCTCTCTCCTTGCTTTTGTCTGTTTTTATAGTGCAGAATGATATGAAGAGATTCCTTTTTAGGGATATTATTATGAGACTTCAGCCAAAACAAACAAACAAAACCACCACCCCCCAAAAAAACCCCTACCTTTTCAACTGAAGAGAATTAAAAATGAAAAGAAAAAAATCCTACCATGATCAACACATGGGACATAGGATGACTTGGAATGTGGCAATTTCATCTCACAATTGCCTGGAATCTCTTTTAGAGTAGCAAATCTCAGTTTTGCTCCC